CAGGCATAAAATAATTAATCATAAAATATCCTGAGTTGGAAGGGACCCACATGCATCATTGAGCCCAACTCCTGGCCCTGCACAGGACACTCCCAAGAGTCACACCATGTGCCTGACAGTGTTATCCAAATGCTTCTTGAATTCTGTCAGGCCTTGCTGTGAGCACTTTCCTTGTGAGCCTCTTCTGGTGCCCACACTCTGGGTGAAAATAATTTTATTAATACCCAACATAAACCTCCCCTGGCAACTTCAGGCCATTTCTTTGGGTCTTGTCACTAGCCAACACAAAGAACTGTGTCTGCACCTCCTCTTCCCCTCATGAGGAAGTCGTAGACTGCCATGAGGTCTCCCCTCGGTCTCCTCCATGCTGAAGAGACAAAGTGACCTCAGGGCCTACTCATACAGCTTCCCAGCAAGGCCCTTCACCCTCACTGCGTCCCTCCTTTGGACATTTTCTATGAGCTTTTTATCCTTTCTATAATGTAGTGCCCAAAACTGCACACATTATTCATGGTGAGGCTGCCCCAGCTCAGAGCAGAGCAGGGCAATCTCCTCCCTTGCCCACTGGCCATGCTGTGCCTGATCCCCCCAGAACAGTGTTGGCCCTCCTGGCTGCCAGAGCACTGCTGGCTCATGTTCAACTTGCCATCAACCAGGACCCCCAGACATCCTGCTGCTCTCCAGAATCTTGTTCCCCAGTTGGGATGCACATCAAGGGATGCCCCATCTCAGGTGTAGAATCTGGAACTTGTCCTTGTTGAAATTCATTGTGCAGCATTGTGATATGTCAAGATCCCTCTGTAAGGTCTCTGTCTTTGGGGGAGTAAACACCTCTTTCCAATTTAGTATCACAGGCAAACTTACTTAGTATCCAAAGTCATTTATGAAGATACTGAAGAGCACTGGCCCTATAATGGTCACCAGCCTGATGTAACCCCTCTTACTATAACCCTTTGTGTCTGACCCATGAGCCAGTTGCTCACCCATGGCGTGTGTTTATCCAGCTGAATGATGCGCAGGCACGGCAATGAAACTGATGGGCCTGTAGTTGCCAGGGCCATCCCTCTCGCCCTTCTTGAAAATCGGGACAACACTGATGGATGCCAGCAACTTCAAAAGCATTTTCACAGGACCTTGCTAACTAGTTCCCTGAGCAGCCTGAAGTCTGCTCTCCTCATGTCCAGAGGTGAAGTTTTGATGGCACACTTCCTGCCAACAGAGAATTTAAACTGGGTTGCTTCGGGATTGCTGTGGCCAGGACAGCCACCAATCACCACTTCATTCATGACACCCTCTCAATTAGAAAACTAAAAAATCAAGGAGGGCACTTTTCCTAGTTAACTGCCTTAATACCTGTATCAAGAAGTTATTGTCTGGGTGTTTTAGGAATCTTCTGGACCTTTTTGTATATCAGTTGTGTGGTATTCCCAGTTAACATCTGGCAAATTGAAGTGCCACATAAGGACAAGGGTGGTTGATTTAGATGTGTCCCTTAGTTCCTTAAAGAATAATTAATCAGTGTTGCCATCCTGGCTGGGTGACCTATCTTAGACTCCCATGACGACATCTGCTTTATTTGTTTGTCCTTAATCTTTACATATCAAAGCAGTTTTTATCCCATTCTGGATTCTATCAAAATGACTATTTTCTTACATTTACAGTCTGCCAGGTCATACAACAGTAAATTATTTCCCATCCTGGTACACTAACATGGAGGCATTCGAGAAGGATTTTAAAAGGAAACTACTTTTGGTTATGAAAGCTCATATTTTAAAATTTCTATGAGTAACTTGAGGGAATTGAGTATTTCTATATTTTCATATAATTTTTGAGGCATTTCAGAAATTTTGTAGAGTATTTTATTTCAAGTGCCTACTGTATCTTGATCCAAGAGAAGTCTGTGATAAACGACAGGCTAGCCAGTTAGGTCATGGTTGCATTTTTTACTTTGAAAATGAAGCCTGGAGAATCAAATCCCCTGTTTCATTACAATGCTTCTTACATAATAACAACTAAATGTTGTGTATCTTTGCCTAAATGCCAGCAAATGGTCTCAGTTCTGTTAGCATTTCATTGACATTCAGTCTGTGGCTTCATGTTGGCCAAAGCCAATAATAGTCCCATCTGCCAAGTCTTGCTCTACATTCCTAATTCCTTAGCTGCCAGGGAACAGGAGTCTAAGTATTGTGAGAAACTTTTTTGGTTAATTTGATTTTCAAACTACTAATATACATCCCTAACAAACTTATGCTGAAGGATTATTATTTGCCTCAGAGCAGTTTCTCCCTTGAGCGATCAGTCAACGTTTGCCTCCAGACTCCTTTTACTGTCTGCCATTAGCAAGTTCACACTTTATTCCCCAGCATCCTTATTCTTTCATGTGTAGTGGCACCACTTTACAGTTCCCAGCCTCTGTTCCTTCCCTGGTTACAGAAGATGCAGAAAATTCAGAGTTACTGATGTCCTCTTTGCATCAGTCTTTACTTACAAGACCAGCAACGGGTAGAAACTGATGCACAGGAATATGAGTGTCTCTATTATGTGGATGACCTTGCACTGGAACAGATTGTGTGGAGGGCTTGTGGAGTCCCCCTCATTGGAGATATCCAGGAAGCATCAGGACACAGAATCAGAGTCACAGTATTATTAGGGTTGGCAAAGACTTTGGAGGTCATCCAGTCCGACACCTCTGCCAACGCAGGGTCACTTAGAGCAGGTTACACAGGTGCCCAGCAAGGTGGGTTCTGAATGTCTCCGGAGAGAGACACACAAAAACCCTGTGCTCTAGGATGACCCAGCTGGAGCAGGGAGGCTGGACTGGACGCCCCAGTGTGGTCCCTTCCAACCTTACCCACTCTGATTCTGTTCGTCTCCGAGCTACTCATTACTAACCTTTCTCGTCTGAAACGCTTAAAAGCTACTTTATTTTAGAAATCAACAGTACAGGTTGAAGATGGCCCCTCAGTGACTTAAACAACCCCTTTTAAATTTTATTTTTATTTAATCTCTGCATGCCGGCTGTGAGGATGATCTGATCTCCGCTACTACCGGCGCAGCTCGGCCCGCCTGCCCGCCGCTCCCCGCCCCGCTGCGGGACAGGATGTCCCGCCTCCCGCCGCCCTCCCGATTGGCAGAGAGCTCCGCTGGCGCACGGGGGGCCGAACTTTCCCCGTCTCCAGTAGCGGAGGAGCGAGGGAGGG